CCCCAAAACCCCAAAACCCCAAAACCCCAAAACCCCAATTTAATTAAATAAATTGAAATACAGGACACCATTAAAGATTATCTGATGCAAATGAACAACTCAAAACTAGTAGATGCTGCCAGTCATAGGTACAAAGATCCCCGTTCCATCAAATGGACTTTTGTTGATGATAGAATTCCCTTTAAAAGTAAGAAGAGATTACATCTTAATAAGAAAATTTTCAGAGTTCCGAGAGTAAGTCGGCTAAAGTTATCCCTATAGGGTTCAACAGTTGCAGCTGATACGTTCAACGGACACCTTCCAGAGAGACCGCAGAGGAAAGTTAACTCAAAGAAAGCTTCTTCTATGCTCAGATCACCTCGGGATCGTTATAAGTTACCTGATTTGAGCTCGACTTGAAGAAATTCAAAGAAAGATCTGACTCTTTCTGTCAAGAGAAAGAACTACTCTAATGCAATTAAATTGAAGAATCTAGGTATGGAATTCAAAATTTGTTATGAATGAAAATTGAATTTAGCCTAACACCTATAATCTTTTTGACTTAATTCCCTAAAAGAAGCATTCTAACGACCCAAATATAGCGTTGAGCCAAGCACCGGTATCAGGGTTGCAGTTATACTTACCATCTCCAAGATTAGCGCCTACTGGCTCTCCGAGTATTAACTTTAGCCTGTTTGACAGTAAGCAGCAAAGGAAGTTAGAAATCCCTCTTAGAGGATCTAAATAAAAGAATTATTCAAATTGCAAAGCAGAAGGTATTCCTTAGGGTATTCTAATCACTTTAGTTGGTACAAAAGAAAGCCCAGGAGGAACATAACTCAAACACTTTTGTAACTGGCAAGAATAAGGAATCTACCTCATCGATGGAGAGGAATAATGATAAACATATTCGTACTCACATGGTCAAAGATATAAAAAATAGTGTTCAAGAGATACTTAATCGGCATCTCCAGCCCCCTCCTGAGTTTGATGAGTCTGTCTTCCACAAGCGGAGTAAAAGGTATTTAAATCTTTACATCCAAATTTTATAAAGTAGTAGATTTGTGAGCGAAAACTTGGTTTCATTCATTTCTTAATGGGTTTATGAATTAAATGTAGTGACGCTCAAATGCCTGAGAAATACCACCATCGAAAGAGCATGCCTAAGGAGGATCAGTCTGATTCTACAATCACAATTCATGATGAATCGGATGATTTGTAAGTTACTTCCTTCTACATAATCTAAGATTCCTTCTAGCATGCAGAAGCAATTGAAATTGCAGATAAATCCAAAGAAGGCTCTTGAGAACCCTGAATTTGCATATTTTGCGAAGAAAAAGATGAAAGATTTTAATAAATATGCAGAGAAAATTCAAAAACTTTCTTACATAGAGTGCAAGGACAACCTCATAGATTACTTAAACAAGAATTCAGTCTACCGCAAGACCATTAAAGAGCGGACTCTTGATCCTTATGAACTGAGGCAATTTAATAAGAAGCGTCAGAAGAAGATGAAACTACTAAAACGCCCTTCTATCAAAAAGAAGCCTCCTCAGATGTATGCAAAGACAGGAGAGATCAGGCTTAGAGATGTCTCTCCTACTAAGTTAGCGAACAAGAGATTGTTGATGGAGGAGTATGGCAAGTGGTTTAACCAACCAGGTGAATTTAATGAAGCCCTTTATCAAAGTTCGAAGACCAAATATATTTTATAATGAATTCTATCCGGACGTCTTATCAGGGGTTTTGGGGTTTTGGGGTTTTGGGGTTTTGGGGTTTTGGGGTTTTGGGG